TTATGAACTGTTCAAAGACACAAAAATTATGGAAAGATCAGATGTTTATAATAAATATTTTTGCAAGTATCCAGTTATCTTCCTATCTCTCAAGGTATGATGTTATCTATAGCACGCCAGGCTGAACAGATGTTTAACGTAAAGGCTAAATCATTTGACGTTAATACCATATCATTTAACTTTGAAGTACAAAGCATTTGGCATTAAATATAAACCATTTATCATTAATTCCAAAGTATTTGTCATTAATTCCCAAAACATTTGCCATTAATTCCAAAGTATTTGTAAATCTATAAACAAATTTCCTATAAAGGAAATAGGATTTCACGAGACTTTTAAAAAGAAAATTATTACTTAAATTGCACCATTTGAATTTTAACCAAATATGGAAAATTATTTTCATATCACCAAACTGTTTGACAGTATTGGCAAAGAATTTAACTATAAAGTCAAACAGTTTGTCGGTACAGCAAATCATTTGAATTTCGCAGTTAACCTTAAACGTCAAATGATTTAGCTTTTACATTTAAACATCTGTCCAGTCCAGCGTACCATAGTTATCTGCTTCTCGTCTAAACTAATACTATAAACCATTTTGTTGATCTACTTTCTACATCCCTTTGCCAGAATAACGAAAGTTGTTCAACTTGGTCAAGTATGCAGACCCGATTATATCAGCAGTTGGCAACTCTATATAACAATCATCATTATGTTTATTACCAAGTCAGCCACAAAATTCTAAATAAATCATGTTTTGATAAGATAAATTCTGGTAAATTTAAGGATGGTGTTACTAAAGATGCCCTTCTATACCTCTTTAAGTACTTGAAAGACTATCACAGAAATAAGTGTATTGTCCTAATTGATAAGTACGATCACCCTCTTGAAGTTGCTTATCAACATCAATATTACGAAGAAGATCGTGATTTTTTGCTTCTCTGAAGTGCCTTCACAGAATCTTGCAAATGATGATTAACAAATGATTATAAATGATTGGATTGGCCAACGCAGGGCAATAATGAAAATTTGGAGAAGGCCCTTCTTGTTGGTGTTTCTCGCGTTGCTAAGTCAGGATATTTATCAGAGCTTAATAATTTGAAAGTATTCCCAATGCACCATGAAGTATTTGCAAATTATTTTGGATTCACTGAAAATGAAATCTTTATGCTTCTTCAACATAATGGTAAGGAAAATCAGTTAGATGATGTCAGGCAATGGTACAATGGATACCGAGCTGAAAATAGTCTTAATTTGTACAACCTATGGTCAATAAATTCTTTTATTAATGAAGGAAATTTGAAGGCACATTGGATTGATACAGGTAAGTCTTACATTGATTAGCTTCTGTTAGAATTATTTTATAACATGCTTTCCTGCAACATAACAGGAGATACTAAAACGATTAAGGATTTGCTTTGGAACTCAACTGAAGATTTTAAAAATAATACATCAATGTTACTCAAGGGTTATGCAATCAATGTAAGGATTATGGAAGATATGGACTATAATATGCTAGCTCAAAAATCAAATATAGACAATGTACTTTGGACCTTACTCTACTATGCGGGTTATCTTACCAAAGATAAAAATGACAATCTATGCATTCCAAACATGGAAGTTTCTACAGAATAGCAGGAATGACTGACAAATTGCAATTCATTTGAATTGGATTCAATGCTAACAAGGTAAGCTCTATCTATAATTTCTGCTGTATAAAATAATTTTTTATCTTTATTAAAATTAACTTTCACAACATCTCCAGAAGATCAGGTTGATGCATACCAGTCAAAACTTTTTATATGAGTTCTATTTTCTCCTGCACCATCACAAATTAAACCATATATATGTATGCTAATACATTTTAATCTAGATGCAAAATTAAATAATAAAGCATTCAGGTTATGTGCTATAATTATATTAATACCATAATAATGCATTAATCTGCTGTAAAATTTGAAAATCCTTCTCCGCAATGGATTTTCCCAGGGATTCGTCCCAAATCGGATGGAATCTGAAACTCATCCATTTTTTTTTGAATTTTTATAAACGATTGTTGGTTCAAAATTCTTTCATCAACCCAAATTCTTTTCACTATCCATCTCGCGATGCCTAGAAATAAGCAGTGCATTGGATCGACAACAATGAACTTTATAGGATCGAAGTATGACAACCGCAATAATTCTGACCATCTAACTCCAGTATCTTTCGTAAAACGTTTTCGTGAAGCATTAGAGCTACAACGTCACCATTCATGTGCATTTTCACGAAACTTGGCCAAATCTCGAGTAACAAACCATTCGTCTATATTGTCCATCCCGGTGAAATTATTTTGTCGATTCTCATAATTTGCTCGTTTTTTGCATCGGCGACATGATGCAAGCGCTGAAATATACCCGCATATCTTCCTTGCCACGGGAACATCACACGAAACTAGTACTAAAGCTGCACGAATATTTTTTCTGTTTTGGCACTCAAATGTTCGATTTAGAGTTATTCCACTCCATAGTAATTCTAAATCATTGACAATTGGTGCTAAATAGTGATTGATTTGGTGTAGGCTCACTTCGTTAGGACCTGGTAATATTCCGAGAATTAATAAATTTTCTCTTTTAAATCGAATGTCCCGAGGCAAGTTGCAAATGGCGACATATATCACACCGGTGTTGTGAATTGTCCCTTCATAGGGTTGGAACTAATCCACATTCAGCATTAGAC